TGCAAAACCCAAGTAACAACCAGAGTGCTCTGATATGGGGATCTATCTGTAGCAATAGCTAACAGGCCATGGTATTCCCAGGAGTTAAGGAAATTGGCACGTGTGATACCTCACTGCGTAACTGCACCCTCTAAATTAAGAGTTAGAGAGGAGACGGCAGATGCTGGCTGCCACAGTGGAAAATAGTATTTCCTCATAAATTTCCCAGATCTAGGCCAGTTCTAAGGTTCAGAGTCTACTGATTTAAGGAAGACTCAAGTTTCATTCTAGAAGAAAACTTCACGGCTGCAAAAGTACACACAATAATTATATCCATGATTTCTTGCTGTAAACTTCTTACCTATAGCTCTGGCCATACCAAGGGAAAAGAGCCAAACTTTTTCTGTGGGGTACACAGAGCTGGCAACAATAATAAGGGGGAAGACACTGTCATGTTTTTCCCATTAAACTGGTGGGACCTTAAAAGTCAGCTGATAGGAGCTGGGGATTTAGCTCAGTGGCATAAGCATAAGCGCCTGCCTTGCAAGCAGGCAGGCAATTGTGAGTTCGATCCCCGGTACCGATAAAAAGGAAAAAGACAAAAAAAAAAAAAAAAAAAGTCAGCTGATAAATGAAGCTTTCAGGTAAACAGGTCCAGTGAGTCTGAAGAGCCACTAGTATTTCCCTGTTCCCTGAGTGAAAAATTAGAATAGTTATAGTTGGCAACCAGTAGAACTCTTAACGTTCACCCTCTGCCCTACTAAGTGCTATTATGGTAGAAAGCACCTAATAAAAGAACATTTCTGAGATGTCTTAATTACTTAAAAACTAGAGGGTGAAGGAGTGTATTATATAGCTTTCTATTACTATAACAAAACACCTGAGGCAATCAAGATATAAAAAGAAAATGGGTTTTTTGGCTCACAATTTTGGAGGTTCAAATTCATAGACAATTAGCCTCGTTGTTTTGGGCCTGTAGCAAGGCAGCCTCTCATGATGGCAGCATGTGGCAAAACAAACTCATTTATACCAGGAAGTAGAAGAGCAAAAGGGATGGGGGTTACCACTGTCACCTTTAAGGGAATTACCCCAATGGTCTGAGGACCTCCCATCAGGCCACAGCTCCTCATGGTGCCACCATCACAGGGGCTTCCTGGAGCCCAGTCTCTACCTTTGGGAGACAGTTAAGATTCGAACTATAGCAAGGAGAGAAAGAAATAAGATCAACAACTGCAGGTAAAACAATAAATGACTTTGTGGAGACCTTGACTTAAACCCCCTCACTGCCAACAACAGGCCACTGCACCTAATTTGCGCATAAACTTTCTGGGGTGTTAAGGCCACTTCTCCCTAGATGGCCCTCCTACCCCAAAGCTTCCTCCCCACCACGTGACCTCGCCCTTCTTGTCTAGAACCAAAGTAATGTTACTGTAAACAGTGCTTTCCTTCCCAAACATCTGTAGACATAAACTTAGTTCTAGGTCCAGTGGGTATATTTCTCACCACTGGTAGTGGTAGGGATTTGTCCCAGGACTTTTTCTGGCCAGCATAATGTAATGGCTCAAAAAACTCTTTTTCTCCCAGAGATCCTTCACTTCATCCTTCAGGAAGGATGACTATAGCTTGATTGTCTTTTCCAAAACGTCTGTGGAAATTCAAAAGTCCCTAAGATGGTATTGGAAGATGGGACCTTGTCACAGAGGCTCCACTTTATGCATAGATTAATCCTTTCATCTTGTTATTGCAGGAGTGGCTTAATTGTTTTAGGAGTGGCTTGGTCATAAAAGCGAGCACACATGGCTTCTTGGCCTTTTGGCTAAGATCAAGTGTAATCTCTGTTATCAGTTAAGCAAGCGCACGAAGATACTCTCCGGTGCCCCCCAGGGTGCCCTCTGCTCTGCCATGTTGCAGGATGGCACTCACAGATGGCAGCCCCTTGCCACTGGACTTCTCAGCCTGCAGTCTGCGGTACTCTCACAGCAGGATACAGAATGAGGCAGGCATCAAAAGCTGCTTGCTCCTGGACTGTGCCAGCTTGCCTGCCTTCTGTCACAGTACTTAGTGACTGTGATTGTCTCAGTATTCTATAGGACACCCTGGTAGTCCACGTATCAATGACATGATGCAAATCTGTCCTAGTGCACCAGACACTAGGGGTACTCTGCACGCTCTAGAAGATACATCTACAGAGGACTGAGAAAAAAAGCATGAAGGCCCTTGCACATGGGGGACGTTTCTTACTGTTTAGTCTAGGAAAGCTGAGTGCACATGAAACTGAGCAAATGAGTAAAAGGCACAAAGAAGCAACCATTGCCGACCTTAGCTCATCAATCTCCCTTTCACTCCCTCCACCCCACGTGATTTCAAAACAAACTTGTGAAGCTAGGAATGCGGTACTCTGGAGTCACCTGGTTATCCCCTGTAGAGTAAAGACAGTTGTTTGGCCCTAGCCTTTGAACACAGTGCCCAATGGATTACTACTCTGACCCATCTGCCGGGTATGTTGGAAGCCTGGAGTTAAGACAGCCCTACAGTGTGTTTAGTGAAGTACAAACATCCCTGCTACGTGGTCCCCATACAAGAGGTGTCAGTGGTGAACGAGGATACTAGGTAGTCGCTGATAAGCCCATCTGAGTGCAGACCTCTAGTGTTCGGGAACAAGACCGTGCCTCTGCAGCAGACAGCTCTGAAACGCATCGATTTGCACCCATTAAAAACCAAGAGCTTAGTAGTAGGGTTGGCAAACAGAGATACCCAGTATCGCTGATACTGTTAGATCCCATCAAGCCATCCTATCGAGCAGGCCACTCCACATCCATCATACAACGAAACAGGAGGTTCAGGATCAGGGCTAAGCAGGTCAATAGGGGGCATGCACACCAACAGCAGGAGCTCAGATTTCTCTGACACGTAACTCACACATATGCCAGCACACTTCTCCCTTGACTCAAACTGTACCCTTGTGGGTAACTTTCCATGACCCATTGAGAGAGGGAAAGAAATGACTCACACATGGGTTAGTCTGAAGGCTGACATCAGCCCAAAGGGGGGAGGGGACTGTTACTGCAACAAAGCTCCGTTTAGCGGGTGGCCCCAAAGACCGGGAAAGGAAAACCCTAACAGGCTAAGCTGGAGGCAGTGGACTTGCTCATTCATTTGGTGCGCGGACAAAGCAGTCTGATTTATATCCACCTGTATGCCACAACAGAGCGTGGCTGAGTGGTGACGTTGCAGCTCTTGTTAGGTGCCTCTTCTTAGGAGTGGAAGCCTTAACCAAAGGTGTCAGAACTAGGGGACAGATGCCCTTTAGACCCTCCCCCCACAGTGGGATTAACCCGTCACTCCCAGGGATGGGGGTGAGACACAGCTGAGGCAAATGAAGAGTGTGGCACTTGCTGGTGGAAAATTTAAAGAGGCACCAGGAAATTCAGTAATCAAGATACATTTTTAAACCAGGCACAGTGGTGCATCTGTGGAGTTCCAGCTACATGGCAGGCTGAGGCGGCATTCTGAGACTATTCATTCTCCTGGGCAAAGAAGCAAGACACCCACAAATAAATACAACTATTGTTTTAATGCGATGTTATTTTTTAAAAGAATGCAAAAATTTATGATGAATACAATATCAAAATTTTAAGGTGTGGTCTTGCTAGTTTCGCCTTTGTCTCAGGCTATAAGGGGACAGATTGTTGCTGACCCTGGTCACTGCCAATGACCAGTTCAGTTTCACTGTCTTATGCCCATTTTTAACTACTTCCCAGTTCATTTTCCCTACTCCTTTGTTTCCTGGGGACCACTGCTCAAAATAAACTACCTAGTATAAGTTCTTGTTCAAGCTTTGCTGTATTACTTAAATTTAGGGTGAAGAAATGAAACCCAAATTATGATGATGACCCTGTTTCAAATGATACTTCCGAGTGAAGGGAATCTGTTGGTTTCTCTGGATTACTGGGCATAAATCAGAATTGTCCTGGCACATTAGGACACACTGCCTTAAACAAGCAAGGAAACAACTTCCCAGGGTGGTGGGAAGCCAGACTAAGACAGGCCAGAGGAGAAGCCACAGAAACGAGGAAGAAGTGTCCCTAGCCTCTTAGAGGGCGCCTGGAGAAGCAAACTCACCGCAGGTAAATCTGCACAGAGAGAGCCCTTCAGCCTTTCAATCTCATTTGACCCACAGACCCCAAGACTCGGGTTCCAGCCCAGGGCAGCCTTAGGTCTGGGCACTAATAGAAAAATAATAATAATAATAATAATAATAATAATAATAATAATAACTTAAAAACAAAAAAGAGGCTACGATCCTTGCTTTGGGTACCCTGTCAGATCTGGGCACCAGTGGACATTTCTCCTCCTCCGTCCCTCTCTCCCCACTGGTGGCATAGGAGGCAGTTCTTTCCACAAACACAAGACCCTCCAGTTAGGGAGGGTCCTGCAGGCACCCGCGCCCCACCACGGAACTCTGGGGCGCGGGGAGAGTGAAGGGTGGGCACCGGAGGCCTGCGGGGTGACCGGACTGCTGCAGAGGCCCAGACAGCGCGCGCCCCGCTGCGGGGACCAGGGACGGCCGCAGCCGCAGCCCCGCCGTCGAGGCGCGCGACCTCGCCCCTCCCTGGCCGGCTGCGGGCCGCCGCGCCTTCTCGTGGTGAGCCGGCTGCACCGAAGCCGCTTCCGGCGGGCGCCGCGGCTGGGGCCCACCTCGGGGCCGCCTTCGCCGGGGCGAACGGAGCCAGGAGAGAGAGCGGCGCCCGCACCGGGGCTGCCGCCCGGGGCCAGGCCTGGCGCGCAGCGGCCACCGCCCGCGGAGAAACGGGGCGGACCCGGGCTGGGCTCCTGCGCGTCGCCCTGCCCTCCGGGCGGCCGGCGCAGCCAAGGAATCGCCAAGGACACCCGGGCGCACGAGGGCGCCACCGCCCCGCCCCGCGCGGGCTGCGGGATCAGGGCGGGGCGAGGGCCGGTGTGGGCGGGGCCTGTCGTGGCCACGCCCCTGTGCCCTTGGCCCCCGCGTGCGCCCTGCCCTGCACCTGCGGCGCGCTGTGCAGAGGCCGGTGCGTCCCGCCCGCGTCCCGCCGCCCCACCCCAGTGTCTCGCTGCCCACCCGGGCCCGGAGTGCGCTGACAGCCCCTCGGGCCACCCACTTTGCAAGGTGCAGAGCGGCAGCAGAAAGCATGCGGGACTACGACGAGGTGACCGCCTTCCTGGGCGAGTGGGGACCCTTCCAGCGCCTCATCTTCTTCCTGCTCAGTGCCAGCATCATCCCCAACGGCTTCAACGGCATGTCAGTCGTGTTCCTGGCGGGGACCCCGGAGCACCACTGCCGGATCCCGGGCGCCGCGAACCTGAGCAGCGCCTGGCGCAACCACAGCATCCCGCTGCTGCAGCGCGACGGCCGCGAGGTGCCCGACAGCTGCCACCGCTACCGGCTCGCGGCCGTCGCCAACTTCTCCGCGCTCGGACTGGAGCCAGGGCGCGACGTGGACCTGGGGCAGCTGGAGCAGGAGAGCTGTCTGGACGGCTGGGAGTACAGCGAGGACGTCTTCTTGTCCACCATCGTGACCGAGGTGGGTGGCAGCCCGTCTCGGCGGGGTCGAGGCTGGGAACTGGGAAGAGAACACCCCCACCCTTGGGTGTCACCCCCTCTTGAGAATCCCTGGCAATGCTGAGGTCGGATCTCCTCCTCCACCCCTCCAGATCTGCGGTTACCTAGCAACAGGTGCTCAGCCCTGCAGGCGCTTTCTGAAGCTTTTCTGTCCAGCGTGGGGCGAATGCAGAAAAGAGCCTTGTCACCAACTGGCTTTTCTTTTGCGAGTTTCACAACAGATGAAAATTATTTCCTAATGATTTCAGTCCCAGCCAGACTACCTCGATGTAAACAGCCTGAGTCACCTTCCTGCCAGGGATGAGGAGGGTGAAAGGACTCTGTGGAGCCCAAGCGCAGACAGAGAGGGACCCTTGTCCTGAGGCCCAGTTTCTCCCACGGGGAATCGCTCCCCACGCCCACCCTGTCCCGGGCTGCTTGGGTGCAGGAAACCACAGGAGGAATGCCCAGGCATTCATGGCAGGACGGCTCGTAGAGACTTCGCCCAGCATAGTGCGGTGGGTAGGAACCCCCGCAGCACCCTCGGGTTTGGTGGCAGATTCCCTGAATTTCAGGCTTCAGAACCTCACTCTGCCACTGTATTTTCTGGCGTGTACCTACCTGATAATGATCAGGAGCTTCGAGGTGAGGCCTGGGCGGGGCACACCCAGTTTGTGAGAAAAACATCCTCTGGTCTTCCCTGCTGCTGATCAGGCAGGTGGAATTTCCCGCCTTTTAGACACTTCTCTGCTCTATGTTCTTTTCAAGCTAGTTGCTTATCTCTCTCCTGCAATGCAGCATGGCAATCATCAGACCACACATCTGATCTCTTCCTGGGCACTAGGGGGTAGACATCTGGGCATTGTCCTGTCCTCAGAGCTCAGAAACCCATGAAGCCCATGGGCTGTGCTGCAGAGAAGGTTCACATGAATCAGCAATCAGTTCTGGAGCCCAAATTCAAGTAATGGCTTGTTTTCTGTGTGATCTGTGAGGGAAAAAAAAAAAAAAGTACCCTTTCTGTGGAATAACAGAATGAAGAAACTCTCCAAGAAGGAGTGACAGAATTTGAGCTGAATTTGTCCATGCAAAGAACATGGAGGATTCTGGCAATGGAATTCCCACATTTGAGGGTGGCTGGAGCTCAGAGGAGGACAGAAAGCCAGGTACACCTGTAGTTCCACTTTGCAGACACACACGAGAGCAGAATTTATTCTGAAGACAATGAAGAGATGGCAAGGCCAGATCTGTATTTTTAAAAAGAGTCTACTCTAGCTGCTGTGAAAAGCAGAAAGACCTATGAGGAAGATCTAGAAGTCACCCATGCTAAAGTATAGTGGTCAGCAGGGCTGATGGCCGTGGAATCTGCAGGACTGGTGAAAAGCAGCTTAGGTGGTGGACCACCTCTGGATACCTGAGGCTTAGCACTGTGGGCCCTGAAGTGGCTGTGTTCTCTAGCTTAGATTTCCTAGCAGGAGCTACTAATGCTGCTCCAACCCTGCCCACAGCATTGGCATTGGGACATCTAAGGCTGCACGGCAGCTCAGTCCGCCTCGGTTCCTGACCTGCACTCACCACCCAAGACAGAGGCTGGACCTGCTGGCCACAGTCTTCCCAGACAGCAGGATTGACCATTCTGCTATTGTCTTCCTCGCTGGCTTTGTTCACCTCGGGATGTGAAGGATTGGTAGCTACTGGCCTCCAAGTCCCTGTTCACAGGGGCCTTTGTGCACCTCTAGGAATGGGCATCCTATTCTCCGCCATGAGCACCCGGATCTGCTCCTTTGTGTGTGTCGTCACTATGGGTGATGCGGTCCAGGACAGTTTCCTAGGTTATTGTGCAAAAGGAACAAGGAATTGCACATGGCACAGGAGGGGAAGGAGGCAGCAGCAGAGCTGATAGCATGCTCTGGGTGAGCAGGCGCAGGCCAGGGAGAGGCCAGCAGCATGAGTGCAGACCCTGTGGCAAGGGGTGAAGTGGTGCCCAGTTCTGGGGCACCTCCCATTGGAGTCTTTCAGACCACTGACAGGATGCTGAGTCAGGCCGGCCATGTCCATTGTTCTGTAATTCACTGTGTTATCCCTGGATGGCTGACATGCAGTTCATATGCGTGGATCCAGTGAGCCCCTGTGGAAGAAAGGCTGCTGGGGGCCGTGCAGGCGAATTGGGTGCACAGGTCTCCTGGCTTGGGATTTCGGAATTTTCCAGGACAGGATGGAGTCTTTTTAGGCCTGCAGCCTTATAGCAATCCTTAAGACAAAGAGGGGACTTTGCTCTGGGGCATTGCCTAGCTTGGGGTAAATGAAGGGGCATGGCTCCATACCCCTAGTTGAATATCTGTATAGTAATATTTTTGGACTCCCCCAAAATGTACACATCAGGAAAAGAAAAACATATAAATATTTTAATAGTAAATTTATTGAGACATCATGAGATTAATACCCATTACCTTTGTCCTCTATAAGTACTAGAGGTGCTCAAAGCGGTACCCATCAACTTCCAGACATTTATTAGCATGGCAAGCAGTTGCGTGGGCAACCTTGGTCATTGAGGTTGCCACACGTGCATTTTCAATTTCTTCCTAAGGGTGAGTACTATATGGGGTTTTTTTGTGATACGCGACATCATTTAGGGTCCCCAATAGGATTGTAACACCTTCTGCCAGGGGAAAAAATCATACAATTATTTTTCTTTTCCTGAAGTATGCATACATTTTTTTGGTTTCTCTCTCTCTCTCTCTCTCTCTCTCTCTCTCTCTCTCTCTCTCTCTCTCTGGCTTTAAAAGAAAGCAAACTCTGACACATGTAGCAACGTGAATAAACCTCAAGGACACTGCGCTTAGTAAAATAAGCCAGTCACAAGGGACAAACATTGTGTGATTTCACTTATACAAGTTAATAAAGAGTAGTCACTCATAGAAACGGCAAGTAGTGATACTTCCCAGGGGTGAAGGCAGGGAGGAATGGGGAGACTGTAAGACAAAAACAGTTCAGGAGATCGATCGCACAGCCATGTGAAGGTTAGTGGCTGTGCACTAAAAGTGATTAAGGTGGCATAGACGGCATGTGTTGTATTATGTGTGTTTATCACAGTTTTTACAAAATAAAGATACTAATGGTGGCCAGCTCACCTGTGTCTCAGGGAGGTCGTGCTCCTACAGAGAGAGACTGGGTCTCGTGCTAACCGGCACTGAGCCTGGCACCGGCACACAGGATTGTATAGGTGGGGGGAGCTGTTGTAAGTGCAGGACCTTGTCACCTCTTGTCTGTGCCTCTGCAGCACAGCGGACATTGTGGGAGCTTTCCTATGGCCCGTGTCCATCTGGTGTAACATGTGATCACACTGGCTAGAGGTTGAGCCTCCAGCTGACTGGACCAGTGCCACTGAAAAACAATATCCCGGGGCTGGGGATTTAGCTCAGCGGCATAAGCGCCTACCTTGCGAGCAGGTGGTCGTGAGTTCAATCCCTGGTACCGATAAAAAAAGAAAAAAGATCAAAAAAAAAAAAAAATATGTCCCTCCACGGGATGAAGCCCACAGGGCCAGACAGGTCTCCGCCACCTGCCTGGCACAGGTTAAAGGGCATCCTCAGATGTGCCTCTGCTCCACCATCCCCTGTGCCAAGGTGTCCCAATGAGCATAACCTTGTAGGAGGACCTGGCCCTGACACCCCCTACCATAGGAGGACAATCAGCCAGGAACCAAGGATGGCATGTTCTGCCCCCAGGGGTGCCTTTCATAGGGCGGGACACAGGAATCTGGCCTCTGAGCTGTCTTACCATGAGTGTATCTGTCTGCATGTGTATACATACGTGCATAGGTAGTTTCCTCCCTAAAGGCTATTTGTAAAATCTAATTCATCTGTCTTGTGCAGATGAGAATCAATTTTTTAAACTTTATTTCAAAATAACTTCTTTACTAGATAGTGTTTTGAGACAGTCTCAGCATGGCCTTGAACTCCCTGTATACCCCACACTGGCCTTGAACTCCTGCTGTATCCTCCCAAATGCTGGGATTATAGGCCTGTGTCACCACAGCCTTGATGATGAGTGCTGAAAAAAAATCCTGAAACTAGTGTGGAGACCTCCCACATCCGCTGCACCCAGCTTCCCCAGCTGTTAGCTACTGAAATTGCCCATAACCTACTTACTAAAGTAGAAAATTAACAATGGTTACAATCGCGTGGGACCAATTTTCCCACGAATGCCCTTTCTCTGTTTTAGGGTCCAATCCAGAATCCCACGTTATACTTAGGGGTCATGTCCCCGTCTCCAATCTGTGACAGTTCTCCAGTCTTTCTTATCTTTCGTGACCTTCACATATTGTACGAGTTCTCTTACTTTGGGTTTGTATGAGTTTGTGTTTAGAGTGTTATGTTCTTGTTAGTAATAATACTGTAGAAGAGATGAGTTCTCAGGGCGTCGCACCAGCAAGGGCGTGATGCCTGTGTATCTTCACTATTAGTGCTGCTTACCTCTGTCACATGGGTATATTCACTTCTGGAAGATCTCTCCACTGTAAATTAGTGTTTTTCCTTTCATAGCTGATAAATAGCTTGAGGAGATACTCTGAGATAATACAAAAATTTGTGTCTCCTAGTTTTTACCCAGGATTTTTAACACCCACATCTAGACCTTGATGGAGACTGTTATTCCCATAGTATTTGTCTAATGGTGATTTGGAACTTTTCTGGAAAAAAGGGCTTCCCTACCCCGCTCATTTATTTACACATTATTGATTTATATCCATTACAAGCTCTTGCACATTTCTTTTATTCCATCACTTATAATCTAATAATTATTTTGTTGCTCCAACTGTCCCAGCTTGAACTAAGTTATTTTTTACTTTGAGGAAAAAGAATGCAAACATGCAGGGTAAAGTCCTTCATCTGTCTCTGGAGTCACGAGCGGAGGAGTGCGTTCACCCTGCTGGGGGAAGAGTGCCAGTGACATCTGGTAGGCAAGTTATCTCCCGAGTTGCAGCTG